ATGTTACAGCACAGACATGGTCTTATAGCACATCTGTGGTTAAAATAATTTAATACAATCTACTATGGTTATGTTTTCTGTTTTTTTTTATAAATAATTAAAACAGAAATAAAATGTTTGTAATTTAAAAAAATTGTTTAATTAGAGGAAACAATCAAAAAAGGATTCCAAATACAACAATGAATAAGTAAAGAGAAAAGATGCGTATTTCTCTTATTGTCTTTTTTTGTTAGTACAGTATTGAAAAATTCAAAGATAAAATATATTGTATATGGTTTAAATTTTTCGATATTATGTTGGTGCTGATTTTAAAGTCCAGTTTCTGTGCCCCTAAATTCTTCTTTTGCTGTGACATTTGCCGATCCTTGGTATTTAATAGGATAAGCTAATTGATTTCCTTTATTCCAAGTGTAAAGCTCCTAAAAATAAAGAGAATGTAACTATAAACTTTAAAACTCTTATTTTGTTTGTTCTTATTTCTTAAATTATTTAAATAAAAACTTACTTTTGTTTTATGATTATAGCTGACTATTGTAGTTTTATGATAGGGGTTTGTAAATGATAAATGAACAGGTATTGTAATATTTTTATAGAGATCAAAAGCCAATCTACAAAAACACATTGTTAAATATCCAAATCTCTCTAGTTTATAATACTGTTTCTGTTTCTTTTTATGAATCAATTAGTACCTTATTTTCATTGTTTCTTCTGTAACACTATGGACAGCATAAAGTACTCCTCCAGCAATAAACATTTCTCCAAATTTATGATTGTCAATACTAATGTTCCATGCATGTTGAATATTCATATTAATTGCATCCATTTTTATCACGATCGTATTATTTGATGGTAATCCATATATTATCCACAATCCTATTATTAAAAACAATATGTAAGTATTATCCACTATTTTGTTAAAGGAAATATGTTTTTAAAATGAATCATGATACAGTTACCATTTTCATCAACATTGAAATCAACATAATTGAAATTATGGTTTGGTGTATATAGATAATTTTTTGTATTCACCAACAGTCCTGGAAGATGTAATTCACATGGTGAAAAATCCTTATCACATACATGGTCAGAGACAGAGTGGAGATTAAAACGAAAAATTGAAGATCGATTTATAGGATTGTAAAAGAAAGATCTATTATATATTACATGTCCATTTCCCTATAAATAAAGCAAATTTAATATGAACCCTTGATGCACAATTTTAGAAGTATTACGCTATACCTGAAATGGGTATGGTAAAGCAATGTGATATGAACTGGAATTCTTAAAATGATCCTTTGATTTATATTCAAAAATGGAAGAAGTTTCATTTTTTCGAGTAACCCAAAGTTTTTCTGGAAAACCATCAGACTTAGATGTGTCGTGCATCCAGCTTCCATAATGATCATCCATAGTACCCTTCAAAACAGGTTTTCCTACTGCTTCTATTATGCCATCTGCAGAATTAAGTAAAATTAGTGGGTAGCAAAATTATTACATCATGTTATAAACATTTATAATGAAAATTAAAAATTGTACATCTATTTTACCTGCTAATCGTGGTGGTAGTCCAGTAAAATTCACATTTTTGAGTGGCTGAATATTTAAATATTCAGCTACATCTGTAAAAGTACATCTTAAAACAGGACAAGCTGCACAAGTTTCATGTGGTGCACAAAGTTCTTCTAAATTGACTTGTTGTGGTGCTGGTTTTCCATATGTAACATGTTGCTGTCTCCCTATCTTTGATTTTTCTACATTTTTTACATCGTCTAAAATATTTCAGTCAGTAATAATTTACGATTTAAAAAATGCAATTGTTAAAAACGCATAAGAAATGTCTAACCGTCGACTATGAATGAACCTTTAGTGGTATCAATATCATTTTTAACAACGCAGTGGTAGGTACCATGATCCGCTAATGTTATCTTTGCAATCTTCAGACGCATTTTAAGCTAAAAATCATTTAAAAGCAAAAGTAAATTGACGCATCACACAAGAGATTATCATCTATTACCTTATATACATCTCTTCTATCATAAACTTCTAGTCTATATTTGTCAGACATTTTGAGGCGACGACCGTCTTCACGTTCCCAATAAACAATTGGTTCTGGAAATGCTTCAACCTCACATTCTAAAACTGCAGTGCTCTGACTGCGCACGCGAATCATTTGATTGCGTATTCGAATGAAAGGAGGAACTGAAAAATAATTCTCCTTTATTTTAAAATATGTATATAAAAAGCAAGTATGTGTACATATACATTGCATATACACTACTCATAGAAACTTTAAAAGCAGTATAACTCTTACAAGATACGGTGCTAAAAAAAAATCAAAATGGTTATTTATGATTCTTTTTAGATTATGCACAGTTAAAGCAATAAAGTATAATACAGTAAGTTTAATTATAATATCTTCCACGTTTTATCAGGTGCTGTTGCTAATAAATTTGTAAAGAACAACAAATGGTTGTTAGTGCTACCACGATAAACTAGATAAAAAAGTAAGTAAAATATGTCCACGGAATAAAATGCGATAGTTAAACCGTTTACAAGAAATTAGGAGTAAAAACTTGTAAAATTTGACTGTCTATTATTTAATATTGCTTCATTTCGCACGTACAGTTTATATTATAACAAAAAAAACGTAAAATCCTTAAAAATCACAAATGCTTCTAAACTTTCTGTCAATAGTGTAAGTACATATACTTCAAAATATTTACATTTAACTTGAAGTTTGAATCGTTTAAATGCTTGAGGAGGAACTCCATTATCAGCAACACAAGTATATTCTCCCATATATTCTCTATTCACTATGCTGATGTTAAATGTGTATCCAATTACAGAAGTCACTGTTTAATAAATTATATGTTTATCATGTAAAGCACATTTATCGAAGCCCAATTATTATAAAATGTTATAAAAATTCACAGGTTTGCTAAAACGATTATAATTGATTGTAATCAAAATTATAAGGATTATTATATGTTATACTACCATGCCAAGACCCTACAGGTATAACAGCTCCATCACTTCTAAACCACTGAACAGTAGGTTGAGGTTTTCCACTTGCTGCACATCTCAATCTTACATTAGTTCCTTCATAAACAGAAATTAAGCCAGTAGAATTTAATGTAGCAGGTAACATTCGATCATCTGTAAAATTTTATAAAAAGTATGTTACTTGCAAGAACAAATTTTAAAGGTGTATTTAAAGATACTTACCTAAAATGGAAGGAGGAATTAGTAAATCGTTTATATTATAATCATTCATGTTCACCTTCCAGGCTGTTATCCCTGGTCTGCCATCTTGTCCTGGTAAGCCTGATCTACCAGGAGGACCCACTTCTCCTAAAGTTGTTTACATCATCAACGTATCTCTTTTTCATCCATGTACAATTAGAATGAGCGAATTTGAAATAAGGTTAAGTTACCGCGAGGTCCAGGTGGTCCTTGAGGTCCCATTTGACCTGGTCTTCCTAAAAAGAACAATATTTTATTACATTTTGAAGAACAACAAAAATGAATAATAAAAAATATAGTAATCATGAAATTGAGTGCATACCATCTGTGCCATTCCGTCCAGGTCGACCAGGAGACCCATTTAATCCTGGTTTACCATTTATTCCTGGTGACCCATCTAAACCACTACGCCCAGGAATTCCATCAAGACCAGGTTCTCCTGGCACTCCATCTCTTCCATCAAAACCAGAAGGCCCTATATCACCTTTTGGCCCACGAGGACCAGGAGGACCAGTCAAACCAGGTGGTCCTTTTGGACCAGTCATTCCTTGTAACCCAGGAAGACCTGGTCCTCCAGGAGCTCCTGGGCTTCCTGGTGCTCCTGGTAATCCTGGTGGACAATACTTCATTGAAGACCGACAAAAGTTTTCAATTGCATCAAGCTAAAATGTGCAATATTTCTTATGAAAATTTTACATGTCTTTTTAGTTCCTAGTTATTGATAAAAAGTAAATAATTAACCTGTACACGAGTATCTGCATTTAACCATACCCAATCATGTCCCATAGGAGTAATTGGAGAAACCAAACCTGATTTTGCAGTGGGAGATGAAGTTACCTTTTTAGACTCTTTTAAGGTATCTTTTTCTTGCCAAACCTACAATGTAAAAAAATCAAATATATATAGAAGATAAAATTTTTTATGACATGTATTAAAGGTACATACTCTGGATGTATCTGAAACTTTATTATCTTCCGTTACAGGCAGTGCACTACTTCGTCTTTTCCGTACTAACTTTTCAGTTTCTAAAAAGCCTTGGTTTTGCATTATAAGAACATCTGTTTCTACATGGACCACATATGTATAAAGGTAGATAGATGTTAAGAATTGTACCAAAAACTGAATTAGGATAAGAAAAAGAAGACCGCATGGTTGCAATATCCATTGTGTAGATTTCATAGAAGTTTTCTTTTCCATGATTATTATGTACTACAAATAACTGAAAATGATACATTTATTATTTTTGTAATAAAAAAAGTATTACAGTTAACTTACCAAAACAGAAGTGTATACTCCTAAAGTGACTTCTATCTTTAATACATCAAACAAATTAGAAAGAAGGGGAGAGCAAACAGATTTGAATTGGTTGATTGGTCACTGTTCAGTAATTTAATACAGTACTATTATACCCGACTTCCATTCATTCAGGAGTTTTAAGCTAGTAAAATAACACATAATTAAAAACAATAAATTTGCTTACACATAAATAAAATTTTGTCAATATACTTAAAAATATTATATTCAAACTCAACGCAT